TACTGAGTTAAACTACTGGAAACTTGATTGACACTTTTGTATCTTACAGTTTCACATTTGAACTGAGCTTCGCGGTAAATCGAACCACCATTCACTTTGGTGCACTTGCTTTACTCGATAGCTTGTTATGCAAACATTCTGTTAAGTAAGTGGGTCATACTCATACATTCAAATGGTAATTATTGGATAGTCAATTAGTGAAAACCGCATTTTCAAACTGATTAAGGTAATCTCAAGTAATTCACTTAATTCACCAGAGTGATTTTAACGAAATCTGAAAGTATGAATGTTTTTTGTACAGTCCTTCGTCATGTTTATATTTAGATGCTGGTCAAGATGTTGTGGGTTGTCTTTTTTTTTCTTTAACTCTATCCTGTGTGTTTGCCATGGAACTTATATTCAGATGATTGAATTAAAATGCTCCGGCTTGCAATGTACCCAACCTCGTTTCCAGGGCTTTTCCCTTAGATTCGCCAAGAGAAAAGACCTGGGAACGAGGTTGCTATGTACCGCTATCTCACCAATCATAAACGCCTGTAATCTATCGTGGTCACAGAACAATCACTATTACACAACGATGTGTACACGTGAATTGATGGCTTCATAAAAATAAGAAAGAGAGAGAAAACACAAATATCCTATCCACGAGAAAATTTTCTCTTTGCAGCCATAGCCACGAAGCAGGAATAGTCCTATTCACCATTAGTGGCCGTTACTGGCTTTTCTTTACTTACTATACAATAACTCCACATATGGTTATTTGTATTACTAGATGATAATACAGAAAAAAAAAAAAAATAGAAACTAAGATAAATATACTTATAAAAATAACGGTATAAAAAATTCGTACACCCGCTAAAGCAACGGCAAAGCTTTCAAGTTGTCAGCGCCTGATACAGTAAAAAAAAAAAAAAAACTTAAGTGCATGTGTAAAAATACTATATATGAAAGAAATTTGTGAATACAAATTGCGTATTGGCAGAACAGAAATCACAATTTTACATGTGCTGACAAGGTAAATTTGAACTATATTTTATAAAAATTCTAGAAAATTCTTAGTGAAGTAAATTTCTAAAGGCCTAATCAGCCTCATCAACCGGAGGGCAAATAATGTTATGTTGTTTTGTTTTCTGCAACAAATAACAAACAAACATGTCAGAAATATCTTCTTGAATATCTTCTAAATAGCGTAATAAGATACAAGAAAATAATCTCAGTTGTGCACATCCGACAAGCATGCAGTGGCCAGCATCGTGACGTCAGAGAAGGGGCCATATCAGGGAGAGTGCCGTTAGTGGAGGATGAAATCTACACTGATCCATTAATCTTGAATTATCTGTTACAATTTGTGACACAAGCATGTTAAAGATAAGTTTCGTATCCTAAATTTCCTAAATTATCGAGAAAATGTTTTGCACGGAGCCTCTATTAATAAAGAGATCAATTGAGTTCTTTTTCAGGAAAAAAAAATTGTACATGTAATAAAAGAATATTAATAAAAAATAGTTGATTTGTATTCAGTTCTACGTCTATGTCTTTAGAGAACTGTGTCAAATAATATTTTGCAAACAATTTGGCTTATTTTACCAAAAGTTAAGTGCTTTTAGCCGGTCAAATTTAAATCAAACACATTTATGACTACTTGTAAAGTTTTAATATTGAGGTCTATTTTTCTTAATTCGTAACTCGGTCCCAGGCCCATATTGTAGCATTTCTCAATACCGGTCCAAGGTTGTACATTTCTTTCGAAGATGTGCTGTGAAAATTTGATAATTCACCAAGACATTTCTTTAGTTGATAATTCCCTTTCTTGGCAATATTTGGATATTATGGGAAGAAAGCAATGTTGACATGTTATTCTTGGTGGTTCTAGAGTTCAATTGAACCTTTCATTGCGGTAAGTGTAGTTAGAGTCGAAAATAGCAATGAACTTTTTCGCAACATAAATAACGTTTACTTTTAAAGAGCTATTAGAACAAGACAACCCACTACTTGATAACGTGAAGATTACAAAGATATCGCTAAACGTCAAGAAAAAACTTATCTGAAAACAATGTTTTTCTATCAAATATACCGGAAAAATTACTTTCTTTTATCGGTGATTTATAGTTGTACCGCATATTTATAATAAGTATATTATTGTATAAGTTTTAACAATAAAAGAAAAGGAAAAGTTTTATTTTGTCGCCAGATAGCTGAACATAATCCCTAGAAATAACACAGAATAACATGTGATCAACGGTTTTATTGTGAGTAGAATTTAATTCACGTGAACTATTTTCTGACAGGAACGTTTGAAAGAACTTTTAGTAATCACCAGGAATGCTTTAAAAAAAAATCTCGAAGAATGCAGTAGTCGTTTTGAAATAGTTCTCTACTGATCTCAAGCTAGGAACTCAAGGTTATCACAATGGTCTCTGGGGGTTTATCCGAGCAAGACATCAGTATGAAAATTTTATAACTTGCGTCAAATGTTTTCGGGTAAATATCGTCTAATTGGACGTTTACGGCTGGTTTCTATGATGGCAAAAGCCCGTTATGTCAGCCGAAGCAGAAAATAAGCAAGTTCTTCGGAAAATCAACCAAATTATATGGTTATCAACCTGTTTGAGCTTTACATCGCTGTAAACTGGTCGATAATCTGAACTATACCAGGCGGGCCTTCAGGTATGTTGAGTATCTATTCCATAATAACTAATTCATTTTACGTTGGACAACTCAGGGGTAAATGTGAAACTCTGTTGGCATTCTCTACAGCTGTGAAAAACGTAGTTATATACATACTTGATTGTACTTCTGCCGTAGAACGGCTAAAACTTCCAAAATCTATTTTAAGGTACCTTTGTCGCGCCTGATCGTAAAAGCATTATAAAGTTGAACTGAAAAAATATATTACTTTTTATAGAAACATGTATAAAATATAAACTGAGGGATAGTGGAGGGCAAATATTTACCATATTTCTTAAAATCAAATCCCGTTTTACTCTCACGTGTTAAAGCAGAGTTTTAAAGGGTTTAGGCTGTGCAGGAGTGGTTCTAGTACATTTCATTTCTCCTACATGGTTCATAAAAGCTTCTTATAAGATTTTAGTTCAACAAGAACTTTCCTTGTCCTGATTTTAGTTCAGTTTACATGCAGCTGCAGTTGTTTATAACGCGAATAGAAAAGTGCAATTGCAAAAGGTAAATGGAAAGTTGATATTTTCAATTAAGATCCTAATAAAATAAATAACCTATATCTTAAAGAAGTTAGGTACATTTCTAATTCACTTGCGTTTGTGCCGAGTTTTGTGTTCGATGTCTTTCTTTTGTTTGTCAATATTACCAGTGTAAACTAACGACCAGAGCATTCAATACAATAATTGAGTTAGTCACAGGGACTCCCCTGGTCAAATAGGTTGCGACCTGAGCTCACTCAGTGGAGACGCAAACAAATTTAGCTTGAAAACAATACGAAGGTTTCTACGTACTTTTATTCATATCAAGCTGCAAGTAATGTATTGAAAGTCAGTCGCCATTCAATGCAATGAAACTGATTATAACAATACAAAGACAGTTTTTCGAGCTGTTTTCTCTCTCTGTTCGATCCCTTTGTAACTTTGGCTTTAAGAACCGGTTATGTTAAATTGATGTTGAAAGTTTTTATTTGCCAACTATTTCTATCAATCTATAGCTTAAGATTCGGAATTAAACCGTTCTCTCTCCCTTAGTCTATTTGAAGTTTATGCTCTCGGCAGTTTGTTTTGCAAACCCCTTAACCCCTAGTATAACGTTTTAAGACTTTAAAAACCCTGCCCCTCGTAAGTTGATTTCTTGCGCAGTTACCCAAGAAAACTGAGTTGTACGAAGCCAGTTGCTTTTAAACAAATATCCAAAGATAATGCATACAACTTCGTTGCAACATTGCTGTAGAAAAAAGAGGTTTAATTTCACTTCGTAGTTCATAAAAAGCTAAGGTTTTCTTCTCTGGGAAGATTGCAAGACGGGAAAGTTGCACGAAACAAACATGGCGTCGTGTAAACAGAAAACACCGTGTGTTCGATTATTCATCGTAGAAAGAGTACTGGCTTGGAAAATTCTTGAACGCAGATTCTCCGATAATTTTTTACTCCTTGATAGTTTGAATGTTTGGTTTTCTCGTGACTGTTTGTTTGTTTTGTCTCTTTGTTTTATTTATTCACCACACATTGAAAAAAATTAAATTACATATATAATTATACAAGAGCAAAAAAGTGACAGAGGGTGGCGAAGGGGTTGTCTCAGAAGGAACCATGAGGCGATATTAGACCCCCTCATTACAATACTTTTTAAAACAATAATTTTAATTAGGCTAACGGCCAGGAGGACGGTTAGATGCTCTCATAGTTATTACTAAGAATGTAAAATTTGGGTTTAGGCTAATATGAGAGCAGAAAGACCGAGTCGAAAAATCTTTGTCTTAAGAGATGCCTGGAAGATTATAAATCAGAGCAGAAACTCCCATGATAAAAGTATCTCTCTTTCTCGAATCCTACTGAGTTCTAAAAAAGATAAACTTGGAATGACATAATTCAAACTGTAAAAGCTGGCATGAGGGCATGGAGAGATAAGACAAAATGAGCGGGGTCACGATCTAAAGCAAGTTATCAGTTTTTTACCGAAGAAGATTGCTTTCACTGAAACTCGTAGGAAAACACCAATAAACAACAATCAACACATAACAATCAAAAAGGAATGGGCAGTTTACGTTAAATCATTTTAGCGCGTTAATTGTGTGCTTCTGTACGGCCCCCTTACATTTGAAAGCGATCTGTAAGACTTGAAGTAGTTTTTCAAACCGGTCAAACATACAAAAGATGGAGAAAAAAATAAATATTTCAGTACTCTACGTTCTCGGTACGTACTGTAGGTCACTGACCATTAATGCAAAATACTACGGGCTTAGTGCACGGGCCCTAAATCGAAAAGGAAAAAATTCAGTTCCGTAACTTCCAGCACGGACCTTGAACGCGGTTGACAGTAAGGAGTGGTTAGGAATCTGAATATCATTTTAGCTTAAGTGCCCACGAATCCAAATACCTTACATGCAATGAATTTGGGAAAAAAATATCCGTAGTTAAGGAAGGCAAGTACGTAACAGAAATTAATTCAATAGCAGTCAATTTTTTATTATTATAATTTAATGCAATAAATTTACAACTTTTACAAAACTATAATATATTTATAACCACTTATAATTTAACAGTTGTCCGTTCCCGTCAAAATCCAGGCTCCGAAGGTTGAGATATATCCCCTAAAAATCGAAATAGAAGAACCACTGTAAGCAAAACGTCGAAAAACACCATGCATGCATCTTTACACAGCTAATTAAAGTATTATAAGTACAATTTTAAGTTTATATTTTATTATTTACAGGGTCGTATTTAGTTGTTTAGTGGGAGGCACAGTGGCCTCATGGTTAGTGCGCTCGACTCCAGATCGAGCGGTCCGGGTTCGAGTCCTGGTCGGGGACATTGTGTTGGGTTCTTGAGCAAGACACTACTCTCACAGTCCTCTCTCCACCCAAGCCGTGTACAAATCGGTTCCGGCTAATTTAATGTGGAGGGTAACCCTGCGATGGACTAGCATCCCATCCAGGGTGGAGAAGAATTACCCCTAATCGCTTCATGCTACAGAAACCGGAGATAAGCGCCGGCCTGATGGGTCACTTGGCTCGAATGCAGACTTCATTTAGTAGTTAAAGACGGTTATATAATACTTGACAATTATTTCCATGGGGGTGTCCCTACGTTTACGGTCACGGTTAACGATGTTGCGATCGATCGCTACAGAAAAAGTTGAGCGATTCTTATGACTACCAGTTTCCAAAAGACCGTTACGATAAGTACAGAATTAATAAAACAATTTCCTGGATCACACAACGACTTATTGTATTCTGGTATATTTTTCATCAGCCGTGACGATCGCTTCCGCCTCTGGGGAGTGGTTTCTATATGATCGCAAAAACAGCTACGATCGCTGCGATCTTCGAGACAGCACTGAGTTCTTTCTCAACAGTGGCTGCGATCGCTAAAAAGTTATTTTCATATGAGCACAACAATCACTGAATATTTTTTTTTTTCAGCGATCGAAGCGTTTATATGGAAACCCGTCTTAAATAAAAATCTGGCCCGTTCTGGGAAGACTTGAATGAAGCGAAACATGCCGCATTCTGGGATCATTCGATGCATTTTTTCTTCCTTTGCATTGGCCGCGAGTCCACCACGTGACCTGCAAATAAGCCGCGGCAAATAATGGTCTGCTCGTGCGCAACACCGTCTAAACGTGTTTTGTCGCAAATAATATTCAAATAATATTCTTAATATTCTGTGATTGTAACCCCGTTCTTGTGGGAAAACCCTGAGCTGTTAAAGAGTGATTTAAATATGACAACAAACTTGGTAATCGAAAGATAAAACAATTATTTAACTCGGTTATCGTAGAATATTGTGATTTGTCAGTGTCCCGCAGATCAATTATTTGCCTCAGCTTTCGGCTTCGGCAAACAATTGATCTGCTAGCCACTGACAAATCACGATATTTTGCGACAACCGAGCTCAGTAATTGTTAAACATTTGCGTTTACATACATTTTCCAACCTCTGGAAAACTTGAACACGAGAGGGTGCACGTGACTCACTCAGAGCACATGACGTGACGTCAACCACAAAGGGCCGCAGTTTAAAAATAGCACTATGCATAATTTTTACGCTGCTGTCCCGTTAGTCGTAAATTTCACTTTTCGTTATCAAAATAGTGTGTAATGGACAATTTTATACACGGTGGAGAGAGAACGAAATTTTCTGCATCAAGCAATTAGTAAAGAAGACAAACTTTGCGATTCGTTGATACGATGTTATCTAAAGACACCACGTTTGATTTCACCTACCATTTTCATAAATAACTCTCCAATATTCTTGAGCGTCCTCCGGGCTATCAAAATCTTGTTGTTCGTTTGGATTGTCATTTTGTGCCGGCCTGACAGGATTGATTTGTACACCACTACTCCCTCCGGGCATAGCTTTTGTTGGCTTACGTCGGGTAAACCGTCTTGCGTACCATGGCGGTCTCTTCGAGCGACGTTTTTGAGCGTCCGTTAAAAGTACAGCGACTGTGATTAATATTAGTATTCCAAATACAGCAAGTGCTTTCCTTTCCATCCCAGTCTGTGAATATTGTGGCTGATCTAATTTTTCTCCTGACACGGGCAAGAAGACAAAGTTTTTTTTTTAAGAAAAAAAATAAAAAGAATACAATTACAACACAAAACGATCTTTTTACAGACTCGAAAGTAAAGGCTGTTACATAAATTAAGCCAGAGAACACTGTGTTATCCTATCAATAAGTGCAAGGAACTATGATCTAGTTAGTCTCTCGATAAGTGTTATTCAATAAATGCGGAAGATGCTAGCGCTACTAACTCTGATCGCGTTCTTCCGATATCACGAACAGACAAAAGCTTTTTTAAGACGATTATTGGCCAAATAAATTATCTTTAGCGAAGAAAAATAGGCTATTTTTCGAACAGTTTTCAGACTTTCTGATTGATACATATTAAAGCCATTTAATTAGACAAGGATCGCAAGGCGCTTATCAGAGTAACTAGCCATAGTCACTTTTCACGTTTATGTGTTTGCGTGGTAGTAATATAAATTTTGGACAAAAACTGAACTTTTTGTAAATCATTTATTTCCATGGAAAATGCTTTTTTTCTATTGATGGTAAAACTGAAGCTACAAACTAAGAAAAGTTCTAGATATTTCTCTGATGCGCCTTTGCTTTAAACCTTTTAAGGAGGAAATAGTATTAATTTTTTTTTGTTAAAACTGCCAATTTATCTCAAAACGTTAATAATTCCTTTTATATCAGTTTTTTGCACGAAAAATACTGGCTGTTACACAGAGAATTAAAAAAACCAAATTCAGTTTAGTCGTTGTTTAGCAGAATACGAACATATAGAATTTTAATTTTGATTGTACAGCAATATAATGGACTTCACAATATAGAACAACTGCAACGCAGCCTCGTAATTAATGAGTCTTGTTTCTCTGGTCATGGAAGATCCTTACCTCAAATATAATTGCTGCCCAGCACACTAGCGATTCAGTTTTGTCAGTCAAGATTAACTAACACAATTTGTTTCAGTACCAAGCGAAACAAGCGAAACTTGGCTGTAAATTAAAATGGGTGCGATAATTACTTTTGGTTTGGAAATCGATTGAATTAAGTACTATACTGTGAATAATTTTATGCTTTACAAAGACAAATTTAAATATCGTATTAAACATTTCTTTGTTACTGCACAGTCGGGGATCAAGTTCAAATATTGTAATGCTTGAGTTGTGTTCTAATCATGCAATAAGTTAGGTACAATTAAAGAGTTTTTCTAGGCGATAGTCGTTGGTGTAAAACCTTTGACTAGTCGGCAAGTCATCTCAGTAATTAAAGAAGGACAAAAAGAAAATTTACCTCGCGTTTTTAAGACGAATGTCAGCTGATTTACGAGCGAATAGTTGGCGTCGGCCTTCTTCGGTCACTCCTGATGTGTTTGTTTTAGAGTCGATAACTGCCAGCGCAGTTTTATAACGAGTCCGCCTACGTGTTGCCTGGAAGTGACGTGTACTATACTATCAGCTTCCTGAATGTTGTCCAGCCGAAGTTTCCTTGTCTCGTCAGTTCGCTGCGCTCAATGTTTTGTCGCTTTCGCGCCTTGTCCATCCGTTCGGAAACCATTGTTACGGCACGTGCTTTTGAGTGACGTTCAAGGAGGAACAGATGGGGACAAAACCAGAGGAAGAACAATATTTTTGCTGGCTAAAGAGGCAGCTGTAGACTTTACGAATAAATTGCGAAAGATAACTTTTTTTAGTGGTAATTTAAATGTTCGAACGGAACTTCAGGATAACTTGAAATGGCTCGAGGAAAAGATGATAGATTCTTTGATGACAACGTTTTCGTTTCTGTTAGTAGTTTACATTAAAAAAAAATGGAGATTTTTCGTATCTGTCTTTAGATAAATTAACAAGTTAAGTCTCGTTTACTTAGTGAACGGAAGAAGAGTACAGTTAAGTGCACTTAAAGACCCTATCATGATCAAGTGAGATTGGATTGTTCAACGATTTAACCACTCAACGTAATGCTATGAATACAGTATAACATCCTCAATTATTGTCATTATCCATTTCTTCAGGAAGATTACAAGAGAAAAGAGACGCCTACAGACTTTATGATTCTAAATGGCCGTATTAACTTCTAGCTACTTCTACAGTGATATAATGCATTGAAAATAATTTGGGAGCGATGGCTTTTTAATCAATCGGTTACCGGAGAGCTTAGGGTTTTAGCACTGAACGAGTATAATTCTTCCTCAGAGGAAAAGAATGCGAAATAGCTAGACAAATTAATTGCGCGCCGCCGGTCTTAAAACATTGAAAACAATGTTTGTTTTCCAGAGTCAGGTTATATATATCTTTCGATCAGAGATTAATCTGAAAATGTGTCGCATTTGTAACAGGAAGCACGTAAGAGCAGTATTTCCTAATTTGTCGAACTTCCTTTTATCAAAATTTAGCTGACACTTTTGCCGTATAATGATGCTTTTTTTATATATTTCTAACTAAAGTATTTTCGCCTTTCTCGTCGTTCAAAACCGCTAAAAAAATCGTTAAAATATGCCAAGTCATATCAGATCAGTCCTCATTTTTGGTAACGGGTACCCAGGCTGAGTCTTAATTTTTGTGCTCCCCGTTTTAATGCTAACAAACTATAAAAGACTGCTGTTTTGACTTTATTTTATAATTGCATCCCCTTCTTGTTCGTCAAGCAGGAAAAATAGTATGTGATGTCGTTCATTGAATTAAGTAATCTTCCACATGTTAAAAACTTATGCTTATGCTTGAGTCTGTTAGGTAAATTTAGCTAAACCTTGGATAAGTCTTATACAGCTCACTGATGCAATATAGATGGATTGCATTTTATATTTCCTGTAAAAAGCTACCAGTGAGTTATCATCACTGTTATAACGCTAGTTGCTGAAAGGCCGTCCGAAGACTCCACATGTATATAATATGATAACCGGATTGAGTGTCCGTATCTCCTTAGTCAGAAAAATGGCCGACCACGTGGGCGTAAAGTCTGCTATATAACCGGCGCGCAATTTGTAGAGATAAATTGTGAAAATAGCAAATAATAAAACTATAAAGTAATAAAACTCGACTGGTGAATCAGTGTTCAGTGCGAGCGTCAAGCCTCAAAACCGACCGTGATTCAGTCTTACAATTTCCTTTGCTTATGACTAACCAACCTGTCCTGTTATGGCTTTGTAACTGAGCGCTTTGATTTTCAAAATCATTTTAGTATTTCGTACTTTATATTATTCATAGTCAAACGTTATTCACGTTGAAAAGGCAGTGAAATTGTATCACAACAGTACTTGAACGTCGGTGCAAGACTTCCGCAGAATTTTAAAGTGGAGCCAAAACACACGCGCAATTACCTGAACCCAAAAATGCGTAGTTTCTTAGATCTATGAGTCAAAGAGTTGAGTAAGAACAAGTAAATTTCTTTAGAAATAGTGAGCTCGGTCAAGGTTTTTATCAACTCCTTTGTTTACATATAGTTTTCTCTACTAGTGATAAAGCTTCACAATTTTTTTACTACTAGCTCAAGTTATTCTGTGATAGATTTTATTTTGATAGTAAGAATTTGGCATTGAATCAACTCTGTATCCCTTAATTTTCTTTAATCTTGTTAACCACCTACCACAACAGTATTGTTAAAAATATACTTGATTCAGATATTACGTAGATCAACAAAGGAAAAGCATCTAGATTACGAACGACGAAAATTGATCTCGGATTAGTAGGGATCTATTTATGAAAGGCGGCTCTAACTTTCCGCGGCTTTACGTTCCCGAAAGTGCGCGAGCAATCTGAGTTCGTTATGCTGGAAGTACTGAAGGAGTTCTTATAACTTCAACTGCTATACAAAACTTTCAATAATGTAAAAACGTAATGATTTTTTTTTCGCAGTAGCACTGGTGACACTGCTAATAAGTCCAACACTGCGCCTAATTTGAAATTTGCAGTGATGGAAAATACATGGAAAATATGCAAGCTTTTAATGTCTTATGATGTCAAAGGATATACCACAAAGGAAGAAACTCTAGAACTTTAGTTTGTGGCATATTTTGGGCTGGGTTCGGATATCTCAGATGATTAGGTGGCGTTCTGTTCGCCGGAAGACTCTGGCCAAGACTGGTTGTTATTTGAATTTGACAAAACTATTCGTTACGTTGCCTGCTAGAAGGCTCACCTTTGGAGACACAGGCGCAAGCGAAGCGATCCGGCGGATACGAGTTTGGTGCAAACGTGAGCCTGCGAGGGCTAGTGGACTGTAACTGTCTTCGGGAAGGAAAGAAAAAGCTTTTGAACCTTGGCTGAACTGTCAGTTTTACACTGACTGAATATCTCAGATGTCAGTAAATATGAATGAAAAGCACTTTATACTTCGAAGAGTTAGTCCAAAAGATCAGTGTGCATTTTACTCCGACAAAAATTTAAGGATTTTTTTCATTACAGCAAGGAACATTAAATGTTACGTAAATCAATCACGCATAGGGCCGCCGATAAGACCTGAACAGTACTAGTAGCCGCAATCGGAAACTTCACACTTGGTCCACACTTGGTCCATGTTAACTGCATGTGGCCTTGTTCACACCACGCCGGAGAAAGTGCTAAGCAGCTTTATGGTAGGCCTACCGTCCACATTAATCCGTCAAGAAAACGGGGCTTTTCGAAAACGTTCTTCAAACTGGAGGAATTGGAAAACGCCGTCTTTTCGTTTTCGTGTAGACGAAAAACATTTCGGAGTGTTTCTGAAGACGACGACGACGTCCGATAATTATGGGGTTTCCTTGACCGCGTTTCTACAAATCCAAAATGTTGCGTTTTCAAATTCCTGTGTGGTAGGGGCCTTTGATTTGAAACAGACTGGAATCAGAGTTTCAAAAACTTACAACCTGATTGAATAAACAAACATCTACTTTTGTTCCAATAAGAAGGCAATCGCTGGTCGCACAGGTGGTTTAAATGCAGCGCCGAAACTGAAGTGCAAAAACATCCGATATGTCAAAGATCGATATCCGATGTTTAAAAGACCGGGGAAGGGGCAGCCAGAGTGGGGTGTGACTTCTTCAATATGATCATTATTGACTTTGGTAAGGCGACAGAAATCCGGAGCAAGTTGTTCAATCGTTAAATGATATGGACATTTAATTTAACAGAGTAGTAATTTTCGTGTTTAACATGTACTTATTCCCTTCTGACTAAGCTAGCCATGCTTTTTTCGGGTGGGACTTGCAGTAGCTATTATGTTTTTTGGCAACATGTATTAAAAGATTGAGTATAGTCTGAATAACTGAGCGCTAAATCAAGTCTAACTTACATCAATGACAACTGCCGAGAAATTTACATCGTAATGAAATGTTGGCATAATTCAGTCAGAGCCCGCAGGGTTTGTTTGGCTTGTCATAAACTGTATATTTTGCGAACCTCGCCCAACGCCTATAATTCTCATCAACTTATTATCCAGCTGGGTCCTTTTTTACCCCCTATCCCTCCCTTTCTATTTCTTCTTTCTCTAGCTCAAGGGGGCGAGAAGAAGAGAGACTTTGAAAGCGAAGCTGCATTGTCTTCCAAATGGGTTCCTGTCATTTGTCAAACGCTGTTCTACATGAAAGCAATATATGATTGTTGATTTCCTGCGAGCGTGTGTCGAAATCGTGCATAAGACAGACCAAGTGCTCCTTTTAAAAAAATCGTTTGACAGTATTTGGGAAATGACTAAACGCAGAACAAACACAACGCATTTAGTAAACCATTCAGAAAGTTCTATCTTATTTTTTTCCCCTCCTGCATGATTTTGTTGGTCCTTTCTCATCTCTCCCTCCTAAACCGTTTCTCTCTCGTCAAAACAGAAAACAAACTTTTGGCAAAAAGTCAAGCATTTTGTCATTTACGTTGTTTTGTTGACAAGGCAAAGTCGGATGTTGATCCGATCAACATCCGACTTTACAAGACCATGAAAAGGGGGATACCGAGTTACAAAGTCCGATCAGTGTTAAATTGAAAACTGTAAATTTGGATGTTGTGTTACAAAGTCCGATATGATGTTGTCAACTGTATTGTTGGATGGTGATTGAAAAGTTCGAAGTTGAAAACGTTGAACTGGATGTCAAATTATCCTGTGACATTCGATTTTGGCGGAGATTGGATAGTGTAATATCCTCCTTGTCAAATCAGTGTCTTTTGTACAGCCACTTTCGTGTACGAGAATTTCCGATAGGAAACCTGGACCTGTGACGCACGTCCTTAAAGAGTTACAACATTCCATTTCAAAACTATCCGCCTACATTTTCTAAACACACATTTTTTTCACCCGGACATAAAAAAGAAAGTTAGTGAGTTATATATGTATGGAACATGATAGATCATTGATAGTTGTTGATATGTGGTCTGTTATTACACTAGACTGTTTTTTATTTAGTACTGAGTGAATCACGTAATGAAAGCCTTAATATGTGAAGAAACTGCCATAATCAGTTTTTGACTAAATGCAATTTAGGAATGTTTTTGTTTCTACAAGCTGTTATGATAATCGGAATAGAACAAAATTTGAAAATAGTTCAGAAGTATACCAAAGCTGATAAATAGTTGACAATTTGTTTCTCAGCATGACAGCGACATCATTTTTGTTTTTAACGTGAGAGATATTCTGTATACGCCTACTATAATAATCTAAAGTACTCTTTGAAAAATCTGACTCACATATGTGGACTTACTAATTGTTTGCGCAACATCAAAACATGGAATAGCTGTTAAACCGCTCCTTAATTCCTTGGCTATTAATAATCATTCAATGATATTTCAGTCTGTCCTCATTGTAAACAGCTCAGTAACACGGTAAAGACAAAATAAAACAGACTACGTTTAACTCACCTTTATCGCCTGCCAAAGCATCTGGTTTTCCAGCTTGCAGTTCTAAAAGAATCTCCTTAAAACACTTCAGATCAGTTCCATGAGGTTAGAACAATTAAATGTCACTAAAATCTCAAAAGCATTCAGCGCTTCCTAGTTGACGGAATAAAACCCTTTCTGGGTCTTCCTTCTGTCAATCAAAACCTGATTTTGCACGTGATCACAAGCATGAGTGTGAGGGTATTAGACGTGTGTGGCGTGACACTGCTAAGCACGTGCGTGACACGCTTCTTGCTCGAGTTTTGTGATGTGGTTATTTTTCATGCTATAAGTAATACAGTTTCTCAATTTACAAAGGCTAATAAAAACTTTTATATTAAGGTTGATGGAATTCAACCAGATTAGGCCAAGGAATATTCGGGTTTCTTCGTCGGAAGTGGGTGGTTAACCAATACACGTGCAGCGTAGCCAAAGAATTGATCAATGACCTTGTTTTCCGATGAGCACGTTTATTTGAAAGAAAAAATAATTTTCCTGACCTTCAAGGGAGCAGTGTTGATATATACAGATGTGATGCTTCACTTGGGGATTACAACTCCTTAGCACAAAACAACAGAAGCACTAACTGTCCTAACTTGACCAGGTTGATGCATCGATATTTGCTTTGCTTTCTGCCTTTGATCTGTAGGGAATTTTGCTTTTTTGTTTGCATTCGTAGTAGTTATGTTTCCTGAGTTCGTGTTGAT